GAAAATTAAGTGTGTGTGTTATCCTGTTTGCTATGTTTCTAATAAAGACATAACAAGTTTCAATGTGACACGAAGTTGCATGGCTTTTAATCAAAGAATTAGAAACTTATCCAAGGTTATTTAGACGATGTCGAGAATTCGTAAAAAAAAAAAACGATATATAGGAAATGATATTGGAATATGACCAGAAAATATTCCATCAGAGACTGCTTATAACAAAAGAGAGCATGTCGCGAATATAAACAAAAATTAAGGTTACTTTCAGAAAAAAATGTTTGAAATTTATAGAAGGTCTCGTGCAGGTGGACATAACTTAGTATGATTTCTACAATGTTGGAACTCAGCTAATCAGAGAGCTAGGAATTATTCAATCATTAAAATACACGAGTTTTGTGAATCGGACATAAATCATATCTGCATTTTTGAGACGGTTTTTACTCCTGCATATCATTTAAAGCTTTGGAAAGGATTATAACTTATTGTAAGAGAGATGACCATACGTTGAAAGCCATAAACCATCGATTTTTTTTCTCCTTATTTTTTTCATTATAAATATTTCAAATAATTGCCGTTCGCTTTGGTAGTTTTATATGCATACACAAATGTACAAATGTACTTGTATTTCTGCATATGAGATTTATGTAAAATGTATTTTTGCACAACCATTTATATCAATCGACCATTTGTGTTATTGAGGAAATCGAATCAAACAGATGAATACTCGATACTATTTCCTAGAAATTTCACAGCTCTTATTTTTTTTTCAGATTTATTCCTATATTTATTTTAAAATATATTGAACATAACAAATTGTACTACAACCAACTGTGAATAACACAATTGGATGTGCAATCATTGCCCTTGCATGGTAACCTAATCTCCGAATATTACTGGAGATGGCTCCCTGTTAATCAAAAGTATAATTTGTTTTGATTTCCATATCATTTGAAGTGGTTATCAATCCTTGAATTGTTTATTTACTGGCATTGCATCATTCTCTTATGATTGGACGATATTTAACCTTAGAGATATATTCCCCTTAAGGTATTCCATCCTCCTGTGATTTCATAGGTTATTGCAAAAACTGTTATTAATCTAAATTCATACCCAATAGAAAATCAAACATATTTATAACGTAGCATTTATATTGGAACTTACAGCGTCAGAATTATGTACTAGTATTTGGACCAGTTTTTACACATTTTTTGTGATATTTACCAAAAATGTACAATTTTTTATGCTGATATATATACTTCTGTTTATTTATGTATAAAATCTCAAAAAAATATGGCAGCATTTACATTTTTGCAATTAATAATTAATTTAAACTATATTCTGTGAAAATAAATGCAGTTTTCTACTTTGAACCATTAAAATTGTGAGGGTAGAAATACCTTAAGTACTAAATTTTAAAAATTAAAACTGTTGTTTGAAGAACAGTATATCACTATCTGTTTTAGAAAATATGTACATACAAATATAAGGCTATCATAACTCTAATTGAGATTCAAGAACTAGCCCCCTTAATTACAGACAAACAAGGCTGGCAAATTCAGAAGTTGGAAAAATAACTTTGGCAATGAAAATGAAATAGAAATTGTAAAACGGTTACTGTGTAGATGCATTGTTCTCTTTAAAAAAGGACTTTTTTTTGGCACAGCCTCAAGAATTGTTTACTCTTTGAACATCAAAATACATTTGCTATTTCCATAATACTGTCATAAACTTATTTTCATGGCATGTATTTATGCTATGAATTCCTGATTTTAGTTTTGCATTGTATTGTTTCTTCTACAATAATTTTAGAAATTTCTTGTCAAAGTTTGCAGTATTTCATTATTTACAGTAGTAGAAAATCCAGGGTTCTACAATACTTTGTAATTTTCTACTAATAGCTGTCTGAGTTTTATTTAAACCAAGGCGTGCATTTGTAATGCAATTGAATACAAAGACCCAACAAAATTTGTCAGACATATATTTTGTATAGAAATAATCCCTTTTGAATGTGATATTTATTTGATTGAAACTTTCACAGACCTGTTTAATTTTCATTAAAAATGTATGATACAGATGATGTAAATTCATAAATGCATGTTATACGGTGAAGTGTGCAAAGTCCATTACTTTAGTCAATGTTTTTTTCTTTCAAAAAAAAAAATCAAACAAACAAACAAAAACAAAAAAAACTTTATATGATTTCTTTTTAAGCTTTGCGTACATATAAAGATATTAGACTGGAAAGAAAACTCTTTCGTTCTAATCATGCAAACAATAACAATTTAAAAATAATGAAATAACAAATAATAATATTTTTTTTAATTGCGCGAATAACAGAGTGGTTTTTAGCTCCTTTGTCTTAAATTTTTTATCAATGAATTTCTGGAATAAAATATCTAAAATATAGTTAAAATTTCGGTCATATTTTTTTTTAACTTTCTTGATTTTCAGCCTATTTCAGATTTGTTCAATAAGCTACTTTTAATTAACTCTGGACATTATTTTCCATTAGTTTAGTTTAATACTGAAGAAAACCTTGTTTGATTGACAATTTTGCACCCAAAGACACATTGTTTATGGCACTGGGAGATAAGAGCCGACATCGCAATTCCTCTAGATAAATCAATGTCCAGTTAGTCGTGATCTGATCAAGTGTACTTGAATCGTTGACTAAAATGAAAATAATTTACTTATCCCTATACAATGTAATGCATTAAATGAATCTTTTTAAAAGAGTCGTGGTGTACTTTTAAATAATCGTTTTGTATCTGCAAGAACAAACTTGAGAAATATAAGGAATTGCTTATTTTTAGAATTATCAGTAGTTTTGTTTATAAACACAATTTACTAAAATATGGAGAATCTTTTTTAAAAAATCGCAATAAAATCGACCTTAAAATGTCTGAATTTAACTTCTGACAAAATTGTATATGTTAACATTTGTTTACATTTAAAGTTATCAAATACTCTTGAAAATAATGTAAACTTGTTTATTTTCGTGGTCCGAGAAAATAATATTGGTTGATGGGCATTTGATTTGAGGTTGAAGAAGAAACATGAAAATATGATTTAAAAATCTGCCTTTTTTCACCAAATTTCACCTTAAGGTAGATTTTTCCCCAAGATTTCATTTTCATTGAAGGTGTAGTTTAGTTGACACCGTATATGAAAAATCATACTAGTTACTGTAGAACACTTAAGTTTTCGCGACACCTTATTTTTGCGGGATACGTTTTTGGTATTAATAAGTCACAAAATTTTTTGCGAATTCTGGTTTTTGGTATAATCTATTCTAATGAAATTACACACGAAAGTGAAATTTTTGCGATATGGTGCCGTGAACATGTGCAAAAAAGATTTTGAATTTTTTATTTTTATCCTGGGGGTCAAATGGGGGTTAAAAAGCATTTTCCTACAAAAACCTGGTTCCATGAACCCCTCTTACATTTTCAAAGTAGCCCATTCATATTTTATGGGCAATTGGGGGTCAAAAACGACGTTTTTCAACAAAGAAAAAAATGGTTCACTGAACATCTCTTACATTTTTTTGCATTTCATCAACTCACTCATCTTTGAATATGTTTGGTGGCGTCCTGTAGATGCGCAATAAGGTTTCGGATTCCCGTTTTCATCCTTGGGCCGATTTGGGGTCAAAAAGCATATTTCTACAAAAATCTATTTCAATGAACTCCTCTTACATTTTACGCTGCAGTCCATTCATATTTTGGAATATGAATGGGTGTCCCGTAGATGTGCAGTAAGGTTTTAGAATTTCAATTTTCACCATGGGGGTGATATGGGGTCCAAAACCATTTTTCTACAGAAACCTGGTTCCTTGATTTCCTCTAACATTTTTTTGCTGTAGCTAACTCATCTTTTGGAATATGATTGATGGTGTCATATAGATGTGGTTCTGGAATTTTTATTGTGCCTAAAATTCTCTTACATTTTTGCAGTAGCTTATTCATAATTTGGAATATGATTGAGAGTGTTTTGTTTTTGAATTTTAATTTTCACCAAAGGGGGCGACTAAAGTCGAAAAATGATGTTTTTCTACACAAACCTGGTTCAATGCACTAAGGTTTCAGAATTTTTCCGTGGGGTCAAAAGAGGATTTTTTTTAACAAAAACTTGGTTCCCTGAACATCTTTTCACAGTAACCCAATCATATTTTGGAAGAAGTTTGGGTGTGTCCTGTAGATGAACATTAGGAACCAGCTTCTTTATAAATTTTATAATTATTTTGGCTTCTTCCCTTGTTACCCAAATATGAAGGTGAGTACATTTAGAGGCAAACATCTAAGTGGGGGTATCACTGTCTTATGACAGCATCTATTTATTTTTCAAGAAATCTCTCAAAAAGGTATGTTTCAACGGAAAATAAATTTCTTAGTTTATCTATTGTAATTATCTAACTCTTATACAGGGAAGATTCTCTTCAGAAGATATCAAAGATACCTCTTTAAAATATTTTTGGCATATAATATCATTGCTTTTTAAATTGTATATAACAGCTACAAATATGTTTAAAATACGGCAGCTATTCAATGAACCATATTTTAGAATTTTTTTTATTATATAGAATGAACAACAAATATTTGGTTGATATAAGTCAGTCTGGTATGATTCCAATAGATTTAAATTAACGGGCTATGTTTTTTTTGCATATTTTTTTAATAGTCTTGTTCATTATAAGGCAATATAATCAAATTCTTATTATGATGTACAAAAATACAATAAATTCTTAATTGCTTCTCTAATAAATACAAGAAAAGAATATCTGTCTTCCACATAAAGCATCATATTGACAGACTTACAATCAACCGAATGTATGAGGAATACTAATTCATAAATGCTTTCGACATTTTATGTCAACTCATAATTATTATAGGAAATACATGCTATGATCACCTCATATGCATAAAGTAACTTGCTGTAATAATTCAGGCCATTATTAAAATGTCATTCGGTAGCAGATTTATAAAATATTTTCCCAATCCCCTGTCGGTACCTCCAAATGTTAATTAAAATTCAAAGATAGATGTTATAACTCGGAGATTTACTTTTTATCGCCAGATGATTGAAGACAACGGCGTATGAGCGTTTGTAAGTTTCAGTTTTACATCTGAAATATTTATACAATTATTTACCAAAAATGTACGCTTTTATTAAGACAAACGATGCTAAAAGTCCACTTATAATGCAAATACTATACAATGCTTTCAGACTTAACAATGTTTTATTTTCAAATGGTGTTCTGTGGTTTCACCTTTCTGATTTTAACGCTATATAACTGAAGTTGCTCTCATTTGACCATTAAAATAATTTAACATATTTTTTTCTGAAATTTCAGCGTTTACAAGATGATTGCCGTATTTGCCGTTGTTGTCCTGGTGGCAATTGGTCAACATTCTCAAGTAGAAGGTAATATTTAGAACTTTAGATTTTCTATTCTTGTTTATTTCTTGTGTGACAAAGCAATTCAGGGATTACTTATGGACATTACAATGGACTATACTACAGTGAAACATTTTTAAGTGCTTGGATAAAAAGTTTCATTATTTAAAATGTGCATGCTTAAGAAATATGGAGCCAAGTTACTCTTTATTATATTAAGTTGCTTATAATGGTAAGAGTTGATAAATTTTCGTATACACATCCACTTTAATTTTATTTTTTTTATTTATTTATTTTTTTATTATTATTATTTTTTTTTTTTTGCAAAACCTATTCATTTATCGTCAAACAATATTCAAGCCTCAATAATGAGATAATTGATAGTTTCATGTGGCAAGGAACTATCATTTAAAGCATCACTTAACAACATAGATTAGTGACTATTCAAATTCTTATACTATATATATATCAGCTCTCCATTGCAAACATAAACCTACTCAGCACGCAAGGTGGTTGTTAGCCATCCTTAAAAACAGGAAAATGAAACGTCCATCAGTTTCCTGGAGGAAAACTGTTTAACCGTTACGGAACAATGATAGCTTTTAACGTAACATCCTGAAGCTAGAGGAATCTGGCTCCAAGTCCATTTCAAAGCTCAAAGTACTAGACAAAGGGTAACGATTTAGTCAATTTATACTGGTTTGGACCTTTAAGCATCATTACAAAAAATAGCAGGGTAATCCAAGGATAGAGAACATGGGCAAATATGACTAGAAAATGTCCATGGTTGGACAAATACGAAGTTAAAATAATACATTTCAAATTATACAAAATTTACTTGGAGAGTAATGCAAACACCAACGAGGGCAAATATGATAAATTCTGCGTTCTAAAACACAAGTTTTTTTTTTATACCAATGGGTTTAAAGTATATATTATCAGAGTACTAATATGCGTAAAATTATAGATTTTTAAAACAAAAATGGAGCTTAAAGCTTCTATATTTTAAATGTGCAATTTTGAACCAAAAATTCCTATCTTTCAATAATATATTTTCAGTAAAGTTATTTAAGGGTCACATCACAAACAATATTTGAATGCCAGTAGTTATGATTCGCCTGACTTGGTGATAAATGTGTCGCTTTCACTGACAAAACTGATATTTAAGATTTTTATCATTTGTATTTCAATCAATGCAGAAACCGCAAATGCATTTTACCCCATAGATTAATAATTCTTAACCTTGACAGCATTTACTGCAGAAAGGTATTGTTTGCTATAATTTCATACCCAGTAATAAAAAAAAACCCTAAATGCATATTAGTTTACAAATTGAAGACATTTATGCAATTGTTACCACAGGCAATTCCTTTGCTTTATTTTGTCATGTTCTTTACATATATTAAATATATTTCAATTTAAGAAACCACACTTTCTCTAAAATCATCAACATACTGAAGATTTAATTTTTTTTTTCCATCTCCATTATGCGGTTAACAGGGTTAATTTACAGTTTGCAATTAAATCATCAGTAAATGTTTTATCATCAATGTTTTTTGCGGGGCATTTTAAGGTTGCAATTTTATCATCGGGGAACAAAAATTTATTTTATCATTAGAAGTTATTTAATCGTAAGTGGTTGCTTCACTACAGGCAATCTAACTCTTGATCTTTCAATACTTATTACGGTGTAACCATGATTCTCATTGTACGATTTAAATTTATTATCGCTTATTTCTTTGTTTTAAAATTAAAACGTTCAGTTGGATTTGCAATTATCAAAATGGCGTTAATGTTTGTTAAACGAGAATGTGTAGCACGTTTTTATGATTGTTCATTCAGTTATGGACATTTCATTTTTACTAGAATCATATTTCATCCATTAAAGATACACATTTATTGAGAAAATTAACCACATTCGTAAGCTTCCTTACCATAGTACATAGACTTCTCAGAAATGTTTATCATATATATACGTCTGATAAAACTTAACACCATCCTCTGACATTTACTTTAATTAACAATAATTAAATGACAAAGTTAATGAAAAGGTCAAATCTTGTTTGCTGCAAAACAGTTTGGGCTTGTTATATATAATAATTTATAAACCTGCCTTTTAAAATTTAACGTCAAGAGGTGTCACAAACAAAAAACGTAAGGAGATACCTTTGTTTTTGAAATGCTATAGTAAATCAATTTGAATTAATTAAATTGATCAAAAATCCGATTTTCCAATATGAGAATCGATTGTAATATTTTCAGTCTTGAAAAAATAGAAATATGTCTTGCCTTGATTTCCTGTCGATTCACCATTCCTAAGAAAATGTAGAAAATTTAACTGATTGATAAAATCATATAGCAATCTTTGAGGAAAGAATAGAACAAAGTTGTGTTTTTAATGGAATGTATAATCAGATGATATTGTGGATAATAAATTTTATTGTTAAAAAAATAACTTTTATTTTTTATTAGCTCACCTGAGCCGAAGGCTCAAGTGAGCTTTTCTGATCACTTTTTGTCCGGCGTCCGTCTGTCTGTCTGTCTGTAAACTTTTAACATTTTCGACTTCTTCTCAAGAACCACTGGGCCAATTTCAACCAAACTTGCCACAAAGTATCCTTGGGTGAAGGGGATTCAAGTTTGTTAAAATGAAGGGCCACGCCCTTTTTCAAGGGGAGATAATAAAGAATTAGTGAAAAATTAATAGCATCTTTTAAAAATCTTCTTCTCAAGTACCACAGGGCCAGGAAAGATGAAACTCATGTGGAAGCATCCTCAGGTAATGTAAATTCAAGTTTGTTCAAATCATGACCCCCGGGGGTAGGGCGGGGCCACAATGGAGGATCAAAGTTTCATATAGAAATATATAGGAAAAATCTTTAAAAATCTTCTTCTCAAGAACAGCAAAGCCATGATGAGTCATATTTATATGTAAGCATCCTCAGGTAGTGTAGATTCAAGTTTGTTCAAATCATGACCCCCGGGGGTAGGGCGGGGCCACAATGGAGGATCAAAGTTTTACATAGAAATATATAGGAAAAACCTTTAAAAATCTTCTTCTCAAGAACAGCAAAGCCATAATGAGTCATATTAATACAGAAGCATCCTCAGGTAGTGTAGATTCAAGTTTGTTCAAATCATGACCCCCGGGGGTAGGGCGGGGCCACAATGGAGGATCAAAGTTTTACATAGAAATATATAGGAAAAATCTTTAAAAATCTTCTTCTCAAGAACAGCAAAGACATGGTGAGTCATATTTATATAGAAGCATCCTCAGGTAGTGTAGATTCAAGTTTGTTCAAATCATGACCCCCGGGGGTAGGGCGGGGCCACAATGGAGGATCAAAGTTTTACATAGAAATATATAGGAAAAACCTTTAAAAATCTTCTTCTCAAGAACAGCAAAGCCATAATGAGTCATATTAATACAGAAGCATCCTCAGGTAGTGTAGATTCAAGTTTGTTCAAATCATGACCCCCGGGGGTAGGGCGGGGCCACAATGGAGGATCAAAGTTTTACATGGAAATATATAGGAAAAACCTTCAAAAATCTTCTTCTCAAGAACAGCAAAGCCATGATGAGTCATATTTTTTTGGAAGCATCCTCAGGTAGTGTAGATTCAAGTTTGTTCAAATCATGACCCCCGGGGGTAGGGCGGGGCCATGATTGACTATCAAAGTTTTACATAGAAATATTTAGGAAAAATTTTAAAAATCTTCTCAGGAACAGCAAAGCCCTGATTGATCATATTTATTTAGGTAGTGTAGATTTTATTTTGTTCAAATCATGACCCCCGGGGGTAGGGTGGGGCCACAATGGAGGATCAAAGTCTTAAATAGAAATATATAGGATAATATCTTGGAAGCATCCTCAGGTAGTGTAGATTCAAATTTGTTCAAATGATGACCCCTGGGATAGGTAGGAGCCACATGGGGGATAAAATTTTTACAAAGGAATATATGGGAATTTTTTTTTGAACATGTCAAGTACAAGAAAACCATTTGTTATATTGACATGGAAGCATCATCAGGTAGTTTAAAATTCAAGCCCCCCCCCCCCCCCGCACGCGGTGGTAATCTTTTCAATACTGAACTCATTTGTGCTTTTGCCTAGCCAATGTGCTCAGGTGAGCGATGTGGCCCATGGGCCTCTTGTTTTTAAACGTACTATGGAAAATTTTTAAGTCCTTCAAGCACAAAATGCTCTAATTGTATCAGTAATATATAAGGGGGAAACCCTCTCAAGCCACAAACACTTGAATCAAAACAATTTCAGCATATTAATTTTTAATAAAATTTTCAGGGTGGGTTCCTCTATATGGACACAATCAGCTGTTCAATAATTAAAAAATAATTGAAACCAATAATCACGTGGAAACATAAGTATGCAAATTAATGCATATTTATGTACTATTTCATTAACTTCAGCATTTTTCCGTTAACATTATTGATCCCAATCACTTAAATGTGCGGCAGTAGTCCCAATCAGGGATTAGCACAATGAGTTAAATTATGGATTGCAGAACGCATCTAATTATTTATGAAAGTGATCATGACCTTACAGATGTATTAATTATTGAAACTAATTAATAGTTAATTTAATTAACAATTCAAATGTTCATATTTTCTTGACAGTTCTTGCAATATGTATTTATGAATGAGTCACAGTGACTTCCAGTCAGATGTGTATGAAAATGTCAAGATTGCATCTTACAAGATAGGAATATAATAAGTTATTTGATTGGTTATCCAAGTTTAAACGAAACTATGAAATCCAAGAATTAGAACTGAACTTGGAAATAATTTCAGAAATCATACTGTAAATTACGCACTCATTTTAGGCATTTGCAGAGAATGAACGAATACGATAAAGAGAATGAGATATATCAATCAATTCTTAACTTCACACATCTGTCATATTTTTGTGACATCGGTTATGAAAAGCTCAAATTATAAATCTGTGTTACACAATCCATCAGTGTGAAATACCACTCTTAATTTTATGAATTGATCAATTATGAGCATTGATAGCTGTACACACGAAACATTGTGATTTAGCTATTTTAATATTAATCACACCCATTCAATGTCTAATTAATCATCGAGTTCCAAATGTCTTTTCATCCTTCGTAAAAACAAAACCGCAAATGATTACTGGAAAATGCTGTAGAGGTGAAATATCCCTATAAATTAGTTTAATTGGTTATATTTTTTTTTTACTTAAGAATCAGGAAGTTAAGCAATTACAATCTTATCAAATCCCATAGCCCCCCCCCCCCCCCCAATAAATACTTTCGATTATCCTTTTCAAAAAAGCAATTTACACACAACTTTAAACTTTACGCACTAAACCGGTGCATACACATAAACAGATATATTTGCACCGAATCTCATCTATTAATTTATTTTTAGGATTACCAGCAGGAAAGCCAACTGACCAAAGTGCAAAATGGAATCAACTTGTGTCATTATTGAACAAGGCAGCATTAGGGGCTAGAATTTCAAGTCCTCCAAAAGTTGCCCCCAAAACAATTCCGTATTCAGTCCAGACCAAACAATCTAAAGGACAAGTGAATTCCAAGAATCCTAAATACAATCTCCGTAGCCATATTTCTCCAACAGTTATTGCTCCCTTGCTCCGAGAATTCCAGAGAAGTGGAAAACTGATTCCTACGTACAAGAGACCTCAACAACTCCAACGAAGAATCGTTTGGAAACCAAACACAATTCTGCCAAACGCTGCTGCTCTTGGAATTGATATAACTGCTTCTGGCAAAACTAAAACTCCCAGGAAAACGTCTGCCTTACAACCAAAGAGTGGATCTCGACCAAACAGACAACCTTTTCCTCCCTTGCCTCTAGGATTTCAGTTGTCAGAAAACATTCCCGAGAAGGATAGCGAGGACGATGACGATGATAAAAGTGGTATTCATGATGACTGGGATGATCTTGACGATAACGTTGATATTTACAAAGAGAGAATTATGGGAGGCTTGATGAAGAAACACGAAGAGTTAATGAAAAAGAGATTTTTCCAACAGAAAGCAGCTCCTGTCGACACAGGACGCAGAGTTATGGTCGATCCCCGAAAAAATGACGTCATTCAAATGTCAGAATTTGCAGCTAGGCGTAAAAATATTGCCAAATATTTTAATAAGGATGATTTTATAAAATTTTTAATTATGGGATTAACACGAGTGAAGAATGATGATAACGATGACATTAATTCAGATAGTGGTGAGAAAGATGCCTACACCAGAAAAATCCACAATCTAAATGAGGTGATAAGTCGTGAAATACAAGAAGCTCAATCAAAAGAAAGAGACGATAAAATTAAAAAAGAATATGAAAAGAATGCTGACGATAACTCCATGGAGGACGACAATAGCTTGGCAAACTTTTTCAAGGATTATGTGGATGATGATTCAGAGGAAAAGACCGAATTTTTGGACAAAAAGAATGTATATTATAAAGAGGAAGTCAGCACTTCCACAGATGAGGACAGCAATAAATCAGTAGAAGACACAAATACTTCACAATCTGACGACAATATTTCGATCGAAAACAACAGAGATGAAGATAACGGATCTGGAAAGAAATCATCGGAATATTATGATGATTATCATTCGTCCGAGGATAACAATCTCTCTAATTTTGAGGGAAGTATTGGAGGTGTTAGTGAGGCTATTCATGACAAATCTACAGAGGAAAAAACATCATCTGATAAAGATACTAGTAAAGTTGACAACAAGGATGAAAGATCCTCAACTGAAACATATGACGAAAACTACTCCGACTATGCAGAATACGATGATACTGATGATAATGGAGAAGATTCATCAAAGACAGAGGGATCCAGAGAGGAAACTGCAGAGATGGAAGAAGTAAACTCGGCATCTGGTGAAGAAATTGAGCAATCATCTAATGAAAACTCTGTCTACAGTATGAATGAAGTCAGTTCTGAAAAAACGTACGATACCCAAGATCAAAACAGCAATGAAGACAACACATTTGAGGGAAAAGAGGCCTCAGCAGAAGCAAAGCTAGAAAATGATGACAATAGTCAAGAGGTCGAAACTGAACAAACCAAAGATACAAGTCGAGATACTGAGCAAACGGATGACATTACAAGTAAAGATGCCGATGCTTATACAGAAGAAAACATTAGTGGCGACGTCGATACTTACGCAGAGAATACCTTGAGTGAGGATGACGACACTGAGGCAGGCGACAATACAAGCCAAGACACCGATCCTTATCCAGAAGACAACACAAGTCAGGACACTGATGTCAAGCCCGAAGACAATACAAGTCACGATGCCGACGCTGAACCAGAAAGCAACACAAGTCAGGACACCGATCCTGAACCAGAAAGCAATACAAGTCAGGACTCCGATCCTGAGCCAGAAGACAACACAAGTCAAGAGACTGATCCTTACCGAGAGGACAACACAAGTCAGGATACTGACGCTGAACCAGAGGACAACACAAGTCAGGACACTGATCCTTACCCAGAGGACAACACAAGCCAGGATACCGACGCTGAACCAGAAGACAACACAAGTCAGGAAACTGATCCTTACCCGGAGGACAATACAAGTAAGGATACTGAGGTTGACAGAGACGGTAATACAAGCCAAGACGCTGATGCTGAACCAGATAGTAACAAAAGTCAGGATGACGATGCCAATACAGAAGACAACACAAGCCAAGACGCTGACGCTGAACCAGATGATAACACAAGCCAAGATGCCGATGTTGATACAAATGGAGAAGATAACACTAGTCAGGACGCCGATCCTGAGCTAGAAGACGATACAAGTCAGGAGGCAAATGCTTACCCAGAAGAGAATACAAGTCAAGATGCAGATGCTGAACCAGCTGACGGCAACACTAGCCAAGGTACTGATTCTGAGTCATTTGATTATAATACAAGTCAAGATGTTGAAGCAGAACCATTAGATGACAATAAAAGTCAGGAGACTGAAGTTGAACCAGTTGTTGACAACAACAGTGAAGAAGTCATTACCGAATACACTGATGACAATACAAGTCAAAATACTGACGCAGAACAATCTGAAAACGACAATGACTCCTCAGAAGTACATTTAACACTGGACATGTTAGGATTACAAGATGACACAAACTCCAAAGAGGAGACCCAATGGTATCGTGAAAAAACAGATGATAAATCTCAGGAAAAATTAGACACTGATTCTGATGATCAAATCGCTTCTAGAGAAGTAATTGGCATGGATGATGACAAAATAGATGATAAAAAAGAGGATATCAAAGAGAATACATCAAAGGAAAAAGAATATAAAATTAAGCCAGTTGTGCTCTTCAATGTTGATGATGAATCTCTCGAGGATAGTGACGATGACGTTAGGGTACCCCCTCATCCGCCAAAAAAGATGTCCGCAAATAGTAAACTTAGATATGAACTTGAAACATTTTTAAGACTATTCCAAAGGTGGCTTTCACAGAAAAAGTAGACATTTGTCTTGTCTTTCTCTGCGTTTTATCAATCAGGAAGTGTACAGTTTTCTAGTTTCGCTCTCATTGTTATTTATTATTTCATTACTATATTTTCATTTCAGTACAGATAAATAAATTTTATTTGTTGTTTTTGGAACTATGAAATTGTTTGTCTTAAATTATATATTTAGAAAAACAATCTAGATAGTCTAGTGGAAATAGAAATCAATAATAAATAAATATCTTAATTGAAAATAAGGAAACAATTTATAAAAGCTGAAATAAAATGAATTCTATGAATTGTACCGGAATCAATATTGAAATCCTAATTTAGCAATGTAACATTTAGACATCTGCAACCATGTCAATATTAAGTATGAAGGTAATTTGTACGGTCCTCAGAAGTTTTGTTATTGATATCAATACTCCAAGGCATTATGCAAAGTTGTGCATCACTTCCAGCTTAGAAAATCGACCAATTTATTACTGCGGTTATCTGTTGAACAAACTAGAGGTACTGTGAGCACTTAGCTCACAAATGATCCCCCACTCATATATTAGTATAAGGGCAAAGTTCATTTCTTGATTTTTCATTCAGGGGTTTAGGAGGAGTGTCGTTAATAAAACAGGTATCCCATTTATCGCACTATGTAAATGTAATTAAGACTCTGCTAAAGTTTCTGTTAAAGAATAATAAAGTCTGTTTTGCTAAGGGAAACCCCAAATATCTTTCCGATGGAAACGTAAAATAGGATGTCAAAATGGCTCTATGTAAAAAAAGATTCTGTGAAAATTTCGTTAAATTGCATACAGTGGTGTAAGAGGAGTAGCGGATAAGTGATGGGTACTCCAAAGTACATGTATATCAAAAATTGGGATCTTCTCCATTTGTATCAACCCCAAATATGTCTTTCCGATCGAAATGTAAAACTAGAGACACTTTGAGCACAGAGCTCACAAATGATACCCTCCGCCTCACATATATGAAATTATCATTAAATTTTATTCATTGGCAGGGGAGGGGTTTCAGGTAAGAGATGGATACCGAAATATAATAGAAAGAATGGCACTGTCTCTGTTTAACCATGGGATTCCCCAAATATGTGTCCGATCAAATGTTATATAGGAGATGCATGCACAATGTCATTGTGTAATAAAGATTTTTTTGTGAAAGTTTCGTTAAATTTAGTGGTATAAGAGAGAGTTGCGGATAAGGAATGGCTACCCTTCGACGTAGGGACGGACACCCCATCACTATTTATCCCCCACTTTTAAAGCGGGGGATATATTAAAGGTGACCAAAATCAAACAAGAAAGCCCCCTGTTTTACTACATATGTCATAAACAAAACATAGCTTGTTAGAAGGACACCTTTAATATGTTGATATTCACTTTCAATAGTAAAATTAGATTTCCTTGTATCATTGTTTTAAACTGCACTTGGAAGCATTTTCTTCCTTATCTCATAATCTAACTTAAACTGGATTCATGTACAAGGTAAAGATAACGAACAGTGATCGATATAAAAAATCTACAAACAATACAAATATGTGAAGAGGGCATAAAACACATACCCCTGGAAATTCCAGAATATTGAGTCTATTGAAATCCCTGTAACATCACTTGATCAGTGAGTATCAGTATGAGATTATAAATCGACTAAAATCGTTATGTAACTAGGTGCCTAGGAGGAGCTAAGCAAAGTCCCCTGTTGACCGGTTACACCCGCCGTGAGCCCTATGCAACTGTACTCAAAGAAAATCTTTTGAGGGGACCTGATGATTTTTCCTTTGATTTTGAAGCAAGTTTTATCCCAAGTTCCTTAATTTTTGCCTCTAAATGGGCAATTTTTTTATCATTATTGTCATTTGGAGAAATATTTACCTCTCCATCAGTTCCTCTGCATAAACTTTGTTCCATTTCACAAGGGTCTGAGGTTGGATTCTGAGGAATAGAAAGGTCTGTCAATTCCAGTCTCCTTCTTTTTCCTTGATTAATCTGGAAAACTGTTGTTGATCTCTCCTTTGGTGGTGGTCTAGAGATAATTGGCCTATGTGGTGTGTAGCTTAATTTTAGTGTTGGATAGGGATTTGCAGGAGTTGGCCTGCCATCCAAGAAATGCCCAGAACAAACCCTGGAATCTTCTTTGGGTTTCCAGTTTTCTGACCCGTTCTTCCTGTTAACAATGCTTGTCCATTTTTGTCTTGAATAATTATCTTTCAGTTCAGTTGGAAATGGGAAGAGACGGAATGGGGGTTCACAAATGCATGAACCCAATCCACATTGAATGTGATGAATTTCACATGTCTGCCTTTTCCATTTCGTTATCTTGGTAGCATTATTTGTGCAGAAGTTAAACGCACAACATCGAGTTGACATTATTATATGTAGATTTTGACATTCAACGTTGAAACTTGAAACTCCATGCAGACATAAATGGAAATTAAAGATTATAAATAAAAATAAAGCAAAATATAAACATTACCCATAAATTCCTTGAATGTCCTGAAAAAAACATGCAAGATAGATATTTTTTTTTAATTTATGGTGTCTGAAGTCCTTTCACTTTATCTATTTTTCTTATACTTAAACAGGTTAAGTACTTAAGTACAATCAGTACATTAAGCAACTTGAAGTAGCTTAAATTTACTTAACTATTTCAATGCAAGTTTTCAAAAATTTTGCATTTTATATAAAGTTAAGACAAAAAACCAGAAATATGTGACTACTAATATTTATACTAGGGTTTTTTTTTTAAACTTAAAGCAATCCAGAGCAAAGACTGCTTTTGAACACTATTAAGCTAAATGTGTATTTTCCTTGTTTGAGTAACTGTACACCACCTTATGTGAAGTGAGGCACGGACTTCAAATTGAACTGAATTTATACCAATCAATGAACTGGCCTTTTTTTTTTATTTCATTCAAGAAGTAATTGTTTAGTCACAAATTAACTGTTGTATCTTTTAGAACTTACGTAGCTAAACGCATTGATTGTACTAAACTGTTAAAGTAAAAGTAACTATCCCAATACACGACAAAAATTAACGAGACCACGCGTTTAAACGCAGGGAAAAAAAACATTTATGAATGAAACATTACTGGTTTGTACTTAAAAACTAAAATTCTTACGTGATTTTTCAATTTGCAATTGCTTTAAAAGATGTTCTCTCGCTGTTCTCGCAAAAATCTTGATTATTTTGTAAAATTGTTTCTTCGTAAAGACTTTGTTTACAAATTACTATGTCCGAGTGACCTTTGATCGAGGCCGCTTAATTATAACGCGCTTACTTGAAGTGTTGATACGAGTATTGATCAGGTAGACGGTACTATAGTACAAAAACAAAGGCCCAACAATTGGTATGATCAAGTCACCCAAAATACGACCCAATGATAGGTTATATATTTACTAACAAGGTCATTATAACGACCATAACACTTACGAAATGCTGACTTTAAACGAGGCTACTGAAATCCCTGTAACATCACTTGATCTGACAGTGAGTATCAGTATGAAATTTTATAAATCGTTATGTAACTTTTAACTTTGAATAATAATTAGGTAAGCAGGGAGTTTAATACAATGTTTTGAAGAAATTGTATCAGTTGGGAGCTGTAAATGGGCATATTATAAAAACTCCCTGATAGCATCCACAGGATTTTGCCTTCACAATATGAGACTTTGAGACAGGATTTTGCCTTCACGATATGACTTTTTGACAGGGCTTTTCCTTCACAATATGGGACTTTTTGACAGGATTTTCCCTTCACGATATGACTTTTTGACAGGGCTCTGCCTTCACAATATGAGACTTTTTGACAGGACTTTGCCTCCACAATATGAGACTTTTTGGCAGGAAATTGCCTTCACAATATGAGACATTTTGGCAGGAAATTGCCTTCACAATATGAGACTTATTGACAGTACTTTGCCTCCACAATATCGGACTTTTTGACAGGACTTTGCCTTTACAATGTGAGACTTTTTGACAGGATTTTGTCTTTATGATATGAGATTTTTTTTATTTGAAAAGAATAACATAAAGTATGCATCTATGATACTTAGCATCACAAATAAATGTCTTTGAATATTTTATAATATGATCAATTCATTTGATGCGCACAACCATTCAAAGATTTTTTTTCTCAAAGAATTAATGGTATCTTTAATCATAAATTATTGGGCGCTTTAATTTGATTCTTGATTGCATCATTAATTTGCTGAATTGATACACATGAATTGTATTGTTGCTCTCTTCAAATGAATTTATAAAACAACTAGATGAAATCCCGCGCAAGCGCGGGTAATTGAATTTATACACTACCGACAGAAAATATATTGTAGTTTTTACTGACAGCCTACAGGCTTATAGCAGGAAGAAATACTTTGTTCAAAATCCCACATGTGCGTCTCCACCCCCACCCCCTTTTGTAAAAACTTGAAAAAGATAACATTATTTAATTAATTGATGATTATTGTGAAACCTGTTATACTATGTTATGGATATTGTACTTCAGATGCTCTTATTTTATTTTCGTCAAGGATAAAAGCAGCGAATATGCATATTTTATTGATAAATTGATTGGGTTTTTTTTTGGGGGGGGGGGGGGTAAAAATTCACAGGTACTTGGGTCTTGGTTTATAAATATGTATGTACCTTATTGATATGTTAAAATGTACTTTACCTTCTTTACATATCAATAAGGTACATATGTATTTATAAACCAAGACGCAAGTACCTGTGTAAAAATTAGGTTTTAACGCCAATAGGCCGAGTATTTTATACAAAAGACTGTATTCAGAAAAAAAAACTGAAATGTATTGATTAAAGCACAAAATTTTACAGCTTTAATTGTATTTGAGCAATATCTTATACATTAATTTTCTCTTTTCATGTAAGCAATTTTATTACGAAGTAGAAATTGTACTTCGGGTTCGTTGCCACGATGCCAGTGAGGAATATATTACACATTTTACCGATAAATTTATTAGGAAAACCTACTACATGTATGTAATAGTCTTTCGATATATAAATATATTCACAACTTATAGTGTTATCAATGATTTACCATTATTTCAATGACCATTCACGCATAAGCTTTTTTTTATGTTCCTGCAGCTA